GGTTGCGAAAACTTCAATCATAGGATGCGAAAATCCATAAAGGGTCGAGTTTAATCATTTTTACTTTTGATATTCGCACATCATAACTAATTCTCTCCAAAAAATTCATTTGAGCTACGAAAATATCTCCAAAGAAAATGACACAAAACGATTAAGCACAAAGCTTAGTGATCTAGTCACGACCACTTTCATGACAAACGATGATGACCACTTTCTTGACATGGGCTCACTACCACTTTCGTGAACCTCAACCCCTCCCCTCCCTCCTTCAGCATGTAGGCCTACGGCATAGCACCAATCTCGATATCATCCCATACAAAGCATATAAACCTCACATACAAACAAACAAGCAAGACTCCACTAGTTTGCTTAAGCCTACAATTATATCATAGCATTACACATGCATACTATACACAACGGATCCAATAATACATCAATTCTTTCAAGGAATTGATGTTTGAATGTGATAGTGAAGTTAGGGTAATTATGATTTATATGAGAATTGTAATCTAAATAACTTTAATAAACAATGTAGAATGTAGATTTGGCAATATGTGTTCTCGTGACGTGCATACTAGTCGGACACAAATTTATATGATACGAATTTGTAAACACAATCACAAAATGAAATGTAAAATATGTATTGGTATCAAACACAAACATGATATGCAATTAGTTTACGTGAATGCTAACAGTTGATAACCAAACACAAGAATGCTAACAGTGGATAATAGTGGTTATACATCTCTTAAAGATAATCGGGTAATTATTTTTATGCAAAACTCATACATAACCATTGGGGTCTTTCAAAAAGCAGAATTCTAACATAAATACTATGAATTTTTCAATAAAAAACACAATAAATAATATTGATATAACACAATCAGAAAATAGTGACATTAATATATACAGACTCATATAGTGAAAATAAAACTCTATTCATATAGTGAAAAGGGAAAAAGGAGCTTATTAATCATACTAAAGTGTTTGATGCCATGTAATCTAAAGAATCTATTGTGGATGCATGGAAGAAACTCTGAAATGAAGCTAGAAGATATCCAATTGTGTATCTATTTTGGAAAATATATGATTATGTGTTTATGCAATGAGAGTACATAAATACGATTGAGTGGTCCAATTGTTGCGTCTATGCGATGAGAATACAGAAGCACCGATTGATGAATAATAGAAGATGTAAGAATTGACTATTGTGTTTACGTCGTGCAACAGTAAAAGAGAAGAAACTATGGGGGTGTTTGGGGTTGCTTTTTGAACTCTAAGAATGCTTTTAGAGATAAGTGTTATTGAATTATAGTGGTGATAAAATGAGTTTTTTTAAAAAGTGTTTGGATTAGCTTTTATGGTGAAAATGCCAATAAGTCAATAAGTTAAAAAGTGATCGACTTAAAATCTTCTTTTTAAGCTATTTTGGTTAAAAAAAATCAAAAGTAAATTCAACAAGCCAATTTTTACATATTTTTTAAAATCTGTTTTTTGACGCTAATAATGGAAAAGTTATTCTAAAAAGTGTTATTGAGTTTGTTAAACACTTTTTTCTTTGATTTTTCAAAAAGTCAGTAAGTTGTTTTAAAAAGCAACCTCTACCACCATTTAAGTTTTATTAGTGTGTGATTGGGTGAATGATCAGTACGTTAAAAATATGTGGAGACTTGGGTTTATTGGTTTATGAGCAATTTGGTTAAAAGGTTAAATTGATAAATGGGAAATTTGAAAATTTTCATTTCATCTGTGTTTATATGGATTGTGTGTCACATGTATTTTTTTCATGTTTACATAGATAAATTCTTGTCAAACACGTGTAAGAAACGAAACACGAATCTGAAATTCATGTCAACACGAAACACAAATTTTCCAAACTCATACACTAAAAACATGTGTCGTGTATTGAAATTACAATTCTAACAGAATGTATGAATCTCAAGAAAGAATGGGATGATATTACTTACAAGTGTCGTAAAGACAAGAACAATAATTGGTTAGCCCATAACAGAATGTTATTATTCACAATTGTGGGACAAGAATTTGAATACTAAACAAGTTGTATGGAATCATTGTACATGTTTGTAAGTGAATACAATTCAAAGGAAATATCAAGGTAGAAGTTAGCATTAGGCTAACATCCTCAAAGGAAATATCAAGGTAAAAGTTAGCATTAGGCTAACATCCTAAGATGTAACTTCAATATTATGAGATTGAAGTCTTGGCACCTATTTTCTAATTGTGTAAATTGTTGATAAAGACTAGAAGAGAAACCAAATTTGATCTTATTTATTGAGAAGTTGGTTTCATGCTTACACTCTTAGTTTCTATTGCTACAATGGAGAGGTCATTTCAACAGTCAACATCATTAAAACAGCGTTACCAAATAAAATGGAAGATGATTTTCTGAATGACTTAGTCATTTAGTACCTCGAAAGAGAACTTGCCGAAAAAATCAATTTAGTGACAATTAGGCAAGACTTCAAAGATGTAAAAGATCAACAAGTTCCACTTTGATAAACGATGTAATAATATTTCATATTAATTTTCTTGTTTAGATTTTTTATATGTCATACGTTGAACTAAATTCAACTTGTTTATACGATTTTGTTTTGAAGTTTGTTTATGGCCGCTAGTTCTTGTGCTCATGTTTCACCGGCTATATATTGGAACTACATACAATATGTATTTATTGATAAAGACAACAAAGAAATCCGATTATTAACGTGTACATAATGAAGTGAAGATCTCAGTGTTTAAGAACGAGCTTAATTTGTCTAATTTAGAGAGAATGAAAACGATGGAAGAATTGAATGACATAGACAAAGAATTGTCTAGTTATAATTTGGCTTAATGGTCAAATCAATTAATAGCAATTATTTGTAAATGTTCAATCTCTGACTTGCACCATAAATGTTATTAATCTAGTAATAGATTTGTAAATGTTCTATCTGTGATTTGCACCATAAATGTTATTAAGCTAGTAATAGGTTTGTAAATGTTCAATATAGGTTTCTTTAACAAATTAATGGATGTTTAATGTTTAATGTTGTTAATGTTTGAGAAGACCCTTACCCAACTTGTCCTTTTAAACATCAATTTCACATCAAATCTTTACATGTAAATGTTGTTTTCTCTTTCCTAATATAAACAAGTCCAAGGCTTCCTCATGTGTTCACCTAACCATATGCAAGAATGGTCAATAAAGGAAAATCAACAGCCAAAAAGTATGATATTATTTGTTTTTGGCTCACTATTTGCAACTTGCATATGCAATGAAGACGGATGTTTTAACCATTTATGTTATATGAGGTGGGTGAAATAAGTGATTTAAACTAGTAAATTTTATAAAACGAAAAAAAACAATTGTTACAATTTTAATAAGATCACTTAATTCATTAATCATAATACAAAATTTTGTTACATACTACTTCTTTTTTGCACCCTCGGTGTCATGTTTGACTATACTCAATTGACCACCTTCTTTGTTAGCAGCAGTGGCTGCTTTCACCTCATTGCAGTAGTTGATAAACTTGCTCAGATCCTGTTCACAAAACAAAATAACACTTTAATAAGGGTAATTACGACTTTTATGATGAGAATGATAAGGGTATTTATGTCTTTTGCACAACAAGATCTTGAGGGCAGGCAACTGTAGTTGGTACTTTGCAAGAATGAACAAAAGTAAGCAATGCAAGAACGCTTAAAATAGCAAATTTGTTTGTTAACTTTTATCAATCATCATGCAATGCATTCTTCCAACTACAAATGTATTTTCTTTCTTTCCTTATGAATTCTTAAACATATAAAATGGCTAGTTAATATATCCATCTAGACCAATCGTGTTTATTTGGTCATATTTGTTCTTAACATGTATTTAAGCTATCAACTATCAAGTAAGCTCATATTTGTTTAATCATTGACATAAAAAGAGATCCAGAATCGATGTTTTTTGGTATTTTCTGTAAAGTTAGCATTGAAAAAAGGGGAATTAGATTGGTTTAAACACGTAATTAACAAAATGAATTTTGTAGTTACAACTTATACTTTCCTTGATCAATTTTGAATTGCAATATCAGATGACCCGATATCCAAAAATAGGAAATCAACCAATTTGGGGACGAAGTAGTAATCGCTACATACAAACGACATGTAATCTAATGAAGAGAAGGATAAGAAACTTACACGATCAGAATCCATCTCCTTTGTGACAGTAGCAGGCTTCACAACTCGCTTTCCTGCAAATTCGGAAAGTCAAATTAAACGAAAACAATTTTGAGTTGTAAATGTAGGGGAAACACAAAGAAAATATTTGGATCTAAACCTTTGCGAGTTTTGGGAGCTTTTCCATGGCGACTAGGAGGAATCGTTTTTCTCTTCTGCTGGCCTTTGAAGAGGGTTGCTTTCTGCGTCATTTTTTTGAGATGCGAGACGAAGGGTTTTGGTGCGTTTTAGGGTTCTGAAGCTCTTGAAGGAGGTTAGCGGCGTTGGGTTAAATGGCGTTTCCCTTTTCGTAGTTTTCTAGTATTCCTACTTTTGCCACGATACTTTATATTACTTACATACTTACCCCCTTTAACTTTAAGCTACTAAAAATTTCCATCAAGAAAATAGATTTTGAATTTGTTTTGTTCAAAACTTCAATTGAAATGTTTTGTTATTTTTCTACATCTACAAATATCGCCGTAAGAATTTCAATGTGGCTTTAACAATACTCAAAATAGTGAAATACTAAAACTAAAATCAAATACGGGTAAATGTCATTGTAATCCAATCAACTATCGGGTTTTGTTTTAAAAGATCTTTAATGTTATTTTTTTGCAGTTTAGAGGCATAAACTCAATTTTTAGGGAACTTGACTTGCAATTGTCGGTCTACTTAATGATTTAGCATTTTTCAATAAAAAGAAAATTAAACTATAATACACGTCACTCACAAGTCACATCCTCACCCACCACATAAGACGTTATGTTCATGTTCAAGCAAGACACCCACCTTCCCGATTCGCTCTCATCGACCTTCGCCTTAGAGATTTCGCCTTATTCTGATTAGGTTTCTCTCTTTACTTGGTATCCTAGGTTTGAATCTATTCTTCATTCTGATTTACATGGATGTACAACTCGGTGAAGCATCACAACAACCCAACAAGGATGTTACGCAAAGGCTGAAGAAACTGATGGTCGGTCTGCGATCGGAGTTCGGAGGGCCTGAGTCTGCAATAGGTTCGACTATCTTCTTCATTGCGATTTCACGTATTTTTGTTTTTGTTCGTTAATAATCTTGCTTGGAAGCCACGTGAAATCGTTTTTCTCAAACCTAGAATTGTGTTTCAGGTATGTGGACGATTGTGGTGGAAGACGATGGTGATTGGTGGCGGTGTTGGAGGTTGAAGATGACAAACGGTTTCCAAATCGCTTGAAGGTTGGAAGCCATCTTGCTTGGAAGCCAGCGATTGAAGGGACGGGGTGAGAGACATGCACAACAACAACAAATAGCTCTGTTCATGACTCGAAGGGGAAGAGACCACCGGAACCCCTATATCTCGATTTCCAATTTCTTTGGGCCCTACACACAGGATACATATTGCCTCGATTTTCAACCAATTTAGCACAACACATAACCATTTGAAGAAAACTCTGGTCTTCTACCGAGGCAAAGCCCCAAACGGGTCTAAAACCAATTGGATCATGCATGAGTACAAGCTTGCTAATTCTATTAAGGTAAGATCGAAAAGAAAATCCACATTATTTACAACTTGTTTTCTGAAAATTATGATGATTAACCTCATTTTGAATTCATTTTTTGTCCGGGGCATGGAGAATTGCGTGATTTTAGTTTGTTTTTGAAGAAAAGTGGAAGAAAAAGTGGTGAGAACGATGTTAGATAAAGGTGATCTCTCATGGCAGATGAAGGTGAAGAGAGCAGTAAATATATGCCCAGGGAATTTAAGAATTTGTTGCTGAGTTTACTTACAGTAGTTTAAGTAGTAATGTAAGGTTCGTTTTTTTTTTTAAACTAAGGAAGCTAGTTGAAGTCTGTAATCGGAAGGTTTTTTACGTTGTGTTCGTGAACTTGAATCTAAACATGAAGACATATAGAGAAGAATGAGAGAAAGGTTTATGAGATGGCAAGTTTCATTAAATGACGTGGCGGTTTATATTACTGATTAGGAAGGGGCTCACCGGGTGACCCTTTCATTTTCTTAAAAGGGACATTTTAAAACCGTAAAAGTCAAGATTATACCCCTAGAGAACAAAAACCCTTCATTTTCTTAAAAGGGACATTTTAAAACCATAAAAGTCAAGATTATACCCCTAGAGAACAAAAAAAAAAGACGAGGGAGCTTTTAAAACAAAACTTAATAGTTGATTGGGTTACAGTGACATTTACCCATCAAATACATGCTAAAATTAATACAAAAATTATAGTTAATCAAGTCACGTGCTACTTTTATATCTTAGAGATAAATGAGGGTACCTATTCGGACCAATTTTCCTTGTTCTTTAAAGAATCAATGGTCTTTGGAATGAGGGGGAGTAAAGATAACTAAAAGAAAATCATGAATGAGAAATTAGAAAGACAAAACAATAAAAATGAATCTTGAAGAACAAGAGAGACATGAAGTCTTGGGGGAGTAGAACATCTCCTAGAAGCAATCATAAACTCATAAATAAAGAACATGAGAACAAACATTCTATTATTTCAAAGTTTCTATTGCTTTGATCTTGTAAGATGAAAATTCTAACGATTTTGGAGTACACAAGTTACATGAAAAATATAAAATAAGCCCATTCATTTGAGAAGATATATAAATCATGAAGGTCTCTTGATGATGTAAGGTTTCATGGGATTTGTGATATAGATATAAAAAAGGTGTTGGATGGATTTTCTTCTCGCAAATGCTTGACAAGTTTGGTCTTTTATGACTATTTTTTTGAACATGATAATGAACTCAACGCATTTTTTCAAACATCTCATATTTATGGTCTTTCACATATTTTTGTTTCTCGCATAATTTCTCAAAACTTCGTGTATTTTTCATTTTCTGTATCTATTATGCTTTCTCATAACCCCAAATGTCTGCTAATATTTTTTTAGATTGCTTAAAAACATTTCATCCTATTTTAGTGATGATTGATTACATACAAAAAAATTTCCAATACTTTTTCCTATGTGATAGTTGTTGAAATAAGGATATATAAAATTAAATATTTTAAGCATATCACAAGATTCGATGACAAGTCATAAAAATATTTTCCAACAATAATTTCCACTATGTGATTGTTGTTGAATCATCAAGTTTTTTATTTTTTAGTATATTCTCCCTCTGTTTTTGAAGCAGACAATTTGTTGACGCTTTCGATTTTTAGAAAATGCATGATAAAAAGACTTGATAAAAATTTATCAATTAATAAAATAGTATGAAAAACATTCTAAAATTGAATAACATTGTGAGAAGATAAATTAAATATACTCCTACTTTTTAAATGATTACATTTGTCATTTTTAAATGATTACATTTGTCATATTAGTGTAATAAAATATCATTAAATAAGCATTAATGTTACACATGTTACCATTTAATTCTGTAAGAGGATTTGTAGGAACAAAAATTAAGAGGATATTTAATTTCTTTTGTGAGAATAAATGGAGACTTATATCTTTCTACAAATCGCAACAATCACTTTGAAAGAGCATGAGTGCATGACTACATTTACTTGCCAAAAATTCTAAGAATATGTACTTCTGAATTAAAGTCATAATGTTGGCTTCTCTAACATTCCAAAATTTCAACAAATTTAGACTTTTCAAAACAACTCATTTACTGATAAAAGTGTTTACAAAAACATTGTCTCCAAAACATGATTTAAAATCAGAGTCTCCCAAGATCCAATCCGTCGTAAAACCAAGGATGTGTGTAACACCCCATTTTTTTTAAATAAATTAATGAATGTATAGTAGCCCTAAAATCAATAATTATATATAGTAAGGTGTTGGTCTCGATGAGCTAATTGTCATAATTTTAGAAGGTGGAAGTTAAAGTGTAAAATCCGGACTTAATTTGTAAGTAATATTGAAGACAGGGGCTGCTTGGTAACAGTTAGGACTCAATATGAAAGGAATTATGGAAGCAAGGGATAAAATGCAAATTCTGGATTTATATTGTAAAGATTTATGGAATCAGGGGTTAAAAAGGTAAATTTTGGATCTGTTTTGAAAGAAAAGGGAGAAAGAGGGACTGTTTGTGTAAACATGGGAGGAAGTTTGAATGGTGCGGGATATATAAACCTAATACATGCTGAAACCCTAACCCTAAGAAGATTCAGCCGTCATCACCACCTTATGCCCCCTTCACCTCCGATCGTCGCCACCATTGTTGGAGTCGGAAAAACCGTCGGTGAGTCTGCCGACGACGATGACGAACGTCGCAAGGACGTTGTACTCGTGAGACACTGCCGCTGCTACCTTTCGTTGGCAAGAACGCCACCTCCACTTCCTCCGCCGCTTCTCTTCTTCTGTTACATTGTTGCCGCCGACGACGCCGACGGTAGGCGTTGCTGTTGCCGCCGCTCGTGCCCCGTCGTCTAACATATGTCGTACGTGAGTGTATTGATATGTTGTCGGGCAGAAGACGAAAAGAAACCACCGCCACCACCATGAGGTGGTGGCTGTCATCGTAAATCCCGCCGCCTGCCGCCATTCCTTCTACTTTCCGACGTCGCTGTCGTATCTTGGCACCACCAGCCACCGTGGGAGGTGGCTGTGAGTTTGTGTGGGTATGTGATTTTGCTTCAAGATCGTGTGGTGTGTGTGGCTGCTTGACTGAGAACCAAAAGAAATCACTGCCACCACCGTGAGGTGGTGGCTGTCGTCCCAAAACTGTTGTTGTCGCCGCCGTGAGCCACCGGGTGGGTGGTTGGGGTGCATCTCGCAAATCAGAAGCATGTATGTGTGTGTTTAATTCAAAGTAGAGGTGTGTGGGTGTTAATTTGGTCGGAAAAGGCATCACCACCACCGTGAGGTGGTGGCTGCCACCACGTGCGATCGTCGGCCACCACTAGGGTGGTTGTGTGTGTGTGTTTGTATTAGAGTGTGTGTGTGTGAGTTAGTTGGGTTTTTGGGTTGTAAAACTAGGGTGGATGTATGTGTGTGTTTGTATTAGTGTGTGTGTGAGAGTTAGTTGGGTTTTTGGGTTGTAAAATGTAACTAGAAAGAAGAATAATGAAAAGAAACTCAAACCACCACCGTAGGGTGGTGGCTGCCGCCACCGGTCGCCGTGTCAGGTGGCGGTGTGCTTAGTTTTTGTTTGGATTACTTTTGGGATGCTTGGACAGAATGGGCCCAATGAAACCCTAGTGGGCCCAATGAAACCCTAATGGGCCCAATGATGCCCTAATTGACCAAAAAGCCCAAACATGTGACTAATAGGCCTAGTGAAACCCTAATGGGCCTAATGCACCCTAATGGATCTAAGGACTTGACTTTTGGGCCTATTGGGTTATGATTGGGTTGGAAACCCTACTTAGGATTTAGAAAACCCTAATTTTTGGATATATGGGCCTTGGACTTATCGGGACCCACATTTAGGCCATTGGAATGGAATTGTAAATTACACCCAATCACACCATATGATTTATTTAGAAAAGTGATGGACTTAATGGATTAAGTCCTTAATGGGTTAAGTGAGAAACACTTAACCCTAATCGTCATTTCATGTGAAAACCCTAATTTCACTTGGGCTTTGTGTTGGGCCTTTCTTTTGGGCTTTGGTGTTTGGGCCAATAATGGGTCATCCAAGAATAATCATGTGGACTAGAATATGTTGATGGGCTTTAGGGTAAGGCCCATATGAGGGTTTGGGCCCAATTTGGAAAATTGGGCCGTAGATGAGCCATAATTTGGGCCTTTATGATTATGAGACATTGGGCCATTAAAACTGCCAAATGGTTGGACCGGACTAAATGGGTGGGCCTTTGATTAAGACCATGTAAAGGTTTGGGCCCAATTTGGAAAATTGGGCCATATGATGGGCTTTGATTCATTATTTAACTTTTGGGCCTTTGGATTGGGCCTTGAGTTGAATCAAGCTAAGATAGGGGTTAAGCAGTCTTTTACCCCAAGCATGGACTTATGATTTTTGTGTTGGAACCCAATTATTAATTGGGTGTTGTTTTGATATTGACAGTTCGGGAAGCTGTCATCCAGCAACCAGGGTTTCGTCTATGGGACTTCAACAGTGTGAGGTGAGTTACCTTCCAGTAGAAGTGGGTCTACGGCCACAATGTCGGCCTACTAGTAGGGATTGTTTGTCGAGTAGTTGTCTTTGTGATAATTACTTGGGTTTGTCTCTATCTGATGTGTTTTATGTGCTAGCATGATAGTATGTTATGTGATAGTGGTAGTAGGGGGAATAGTCCCCGACTATCGGTCGATAGGGCTGAAGGGGGTAGTTTAGTACCCAGCTATGTTAGACAGATTATGATATATATGATATGTTATTATGTGGTAGTAGTATGGGGTGAAATAGTCCTCAGTTACCGGTCGACAGGACCGAAGGGGTAGGTTGGGCACCCGGATATGCCTGACAGGGGTAGGTTGAGCACCCCGGTATGCTCAGCAGGGTAGGTCGGGCACCCAGATATGCCTGACATGGGGCAGGTCGGGCACCCCGGTATGCCTGACAGTATGTGATTTGTATGGTATCTGGTATGATGGGGGAACTCACTAAGCTTTGTGCTTACGGTTTACAGTTTTGGTTTCAGGTACTCGTTTTCAAAGAAAAGGAGCCGGCTCGATCGCAGTGCATCACACTATGTTTTCCGCACATGAGATCTTTGGGATTACACTCTGATATGGTTTTATGATAATAGTTTTTTATTATTGACACTTTGGTTTTGACATGAGTTATTATTATGAATGTTTTTATACTGATGGTTTTATATATTAACTTAATTAAAATGAAATTTTTGGTCTTGAATTTTGGGATGTTACAATGTGTACGGCCACACCTTCGCCTTGCCACGAATCATCTGAAGAACCTGAAACCATAAACAAAAATTTAAGCACAAAGCCTAGTGAGTTCCCCCCCAAAGTACCAACACACAAACAAATAGCATATATACAATAA